TCATCTATCCTTATTTTGTTGAATTTTTACCATAAATGGATTTTGAATCTAGTTGAATGCTTTTTCAGCATCTGTTGAAATAATCACGTGATCTTTATCTTTCTTTTTTGTTAATTGCATGAATGATACTGTTCGGTTCTTGTATTTTGAACCAACCTTATATCCCTGAATGGAGATAATGAATGATTCTTAAAATATTGCTTGCATAGAGATAATGAATGATTCTTAAAATATTGCTTGCATTCAATTTGCTAAGATTTTGTTGAAAATTTTTTGCATCTATATTCTTTAGATGTATCAGTCTATAATTTTCTTTTTTTGTACTGTCCTTGTTTGGTTTTAGGATCAAACAATTGTAGCCTTATATAATGTGTGAGGAAGCTTTCCACTCCAATTTTTTTTTTTTTTTTGAAGAATTTGAGTAGCATATGTATGGTAGAATTTAATATTGAATCCAACTGGTCTTGGACTTTTGTTCTTAAGGAGATTTCTGCACTTTCCATTTCATCCTGGTTCAGTTTTGGAAGGCTGTACAATTCTGAAAATTTGTCCATTTCTTCTAGATTGTTCAGCTTGTTTGCATAAAGATGTTCCTAGTAGTTTCTTATCATTCTTTGCATTTCTGCACTATCTGTTGTAATCTCACCTCTTTTATTTCTGATTCTTTTCACTTTGGTTTTCTTATTTCTTTCTTAGTAAGAATAGTTAAGCGTATATCAGTTTTGTTCATTCCTCAAAGAACCACCTCTTGGATTCATTGATCTTCTGAACTATTTTTGTTTTCCATTTCATTTTATTTTCACTCCAATTTTTATTATTTCCTCCCTTTTACTGATTTTCTGTTTCTTCATTTCCTAATTCCTTCAGGTAAAAGTTAGATTATTTAAGATTTTTCTTGTTTTAATATGGGTCTGTATTGCTATGTATTTCCCATAGGATTTGGTAGTTTGTCTCTTCTTTTTTATTAGTCTCCAAATAATTTTTTATTTATCTTTTGATTTCTTAATTTACTCAGGAGTTATTCAAAGGCATTTTGGTTAGTCTCCACATGTTTGAATTTATTCCAAGTTTCCTTCTGTGGTTAATTTTAGCTTTATTATCATTATGATCAGAGAAGACACAATGTAATTTCTACATTCATATGTATTTTTGAGACATGTGTATCAAAATATGGATTATCCTTGAGGATGCTCTATGTGCACTTGAAAGTGTGTATTTATTTCTTTTGGGAAGGAAGGCTCTGTAATATCGATTAAGTCCATCTGGTCCAAGACTTTATTCCTTGTTTACTTTCTGTCTGGATGATAAATCTTTTTGTGTAAGGTATATATTGAAATCCCCAATTATTACTGTCTTCTATTAATACATTGTTTTAGGTCTCTTGACAGTTGCTTTACATTCTAAGTCCCAAGTTCCTTGGCTTTTGCCTCACTTGACAGAACATGGTGCCTCCTACGTCACATACATAAGGAGCCTTGCAGATGAGTTCCTCACTTCTCATACTTCTATCAAACCTGAAACCATAACCATGGTCATCTGCCAGTCCCCTCCTTCCTGGTTACATCAGGAACTCTCTCTCCTTCCAGAAGAAGCCAACCCAACACCTATGCTTCAGCATCCTTCCCCAATAAACTGTATGTGATGGCCATTCTTTTGTTCTCTTATATAAGAGTGTCAGCTTCACTCAGCTGGAGCCTTCCCTTCAACCTTCAAACATGCAGATGTGTCTCTTACCTAAAATATAAAAGGCAACCCTCCCCCCCGCCATGCCTGCACACTCTGTGTGTCACCTCATTACTCTTTCATGGGCAAACATCTCGACAGTGGTGTCCATAATCATCTTCATTCCCTTTCTTACCTTAGCTTTACATTTCATTTTACTCTGCCTCCATTTTCATTACTTACTACTATGGTGCTTGTCAATGTCATCAAAGACCTTCAGAGTGCTAAGTCCAAAGGACACTTGCACACATCATCCAAATGCTGCTGGACACAATACTCTCCTTGTTTCCTCTAACTTCTTGATCCCTTGGTTTAGTATTCTTTTCAGACTCAACCTCTTCAAAATGATCCTTTAGAAAAGCTCAAAAGACACAATACAGGAAAGTCTTCCCTAATGCTCTGAAATCATTACCCATTATACATTCTTAGAGAATATGACTGGATCCCCCCAGGCAAGAGATTGATCAGTCACAATTTATAATTATATGTGCAGGATTGAAATCCTGTGAATTCAGAGTAGTTACCTGAGAACTCCTCATTATACCAAATGCTCCATGAAGAAAAGGACTAGGGTCTATTTGTTCTCATAGTGTGCCTGGCATCCCATAGGCACTAAAGTACCTGTTCAAAGGGTCAGTAAAAAAGGCTCTGCTTCATAGGGTGATGGCATTTAATTATCAAATAACAATCAGATTGTCTCCTACAGGAGCCTGAATAAGGAAGTACAGACCAAAGCAGTCCATTTTAAGTGTGAGGGAGCACTAGGGGACATAAAGAGTCCTGTAGGCTGAGAAAGTAACTGTGTGGCGATGATCCAAATCTCAGAGACCCCTGGTCAGGGAAGACAGTGGCCCTAGATTCCTAAGAAAGTCCTCCTGGGTTCTGGGAGATTTGGGCTTCTGTTACTACCATGTGTTCCTTGAAACAAACCCCATTACTTTGAGGTAGCTCGAGTAGCATCACTTTCTTATAGTTAATTGTCTAAATAATCCAGGAACTCCTCAGGGAGAAAAATCACTGAAGAAGCAGTTCTTTGTGGATGAGTTGGAAAGCCCAAAGTAGAAGAAATGAAAACACAAGGCGCCTTACATAATTTCCTCCCAAAGACTTCAAGCTCTCTTTTGAAGAGATTAGTTTTATTCTGGACTTATTCCCAAGAACTGTGCCAAAGGCAGCAAACTTCGCTTTACAGAGATAAGGATTAAGGCTCACCAAAGATCATCAGACTGCTGTTTCATGATTAAAAAGGTTATTAGCTATGAACACTGTATTTCTGACTTTGAAAGATAATTTATCCTTTGCTTTCTACAAAGTTTCATAGGTTAAAAAATATATCTATACATATAAATTGAACTAGCTAATTTCTTTTTCTCATTGTGGCTTAATTAGTGCTTTAAAAATTAAAATCAAACATGAAATCTACATTTAAAGACTAATTGCTAATGTCCAAGCCTAGCCAGAACCCTGCAGGCAAAAATTTCCATTCTTCAAACTTATATCTATATTACATTAAATTCAAATCCAATAAATTAAGGAGAAAAGAAACCCTATTACTTTCTATCTTCAAATTAGGTAATACCAATTTCTTTACCAAATCTTTCTATGGTAGTTTAGAAGAAGAAGTACATAATTAAATGAAGGCTGATCCAGCTCACAGGCAAGATCAGGTCACTGGCCCACTTTAAATGGCAAAAGGACATGTGCTTTTATGGGCTGTATAGCATAAAAAGTCTCCTTTAATATCTCCTCTGTTATATACTTTTCCATTAAATAATGAACATTAAAGAAAAAATGCAAGAAAAAGTCAACATATAGTAGATTACACCAGCCAAAAAAGGACAAATTAGATAGGCTGGCTTTTCTCAGGGAGACAGTAAAGTATGGTAGAGAGAGCACAGTATATGAAGTTAGACCACCTTAATATCTAATACTGTCTCTGTTATTTACCTGCCAACAGTGGAAAATTATAAACTGCTCTGGACCTATTATCTTCATTGACAAATGTGGTTGATGATTGGATTATAGAGCAAATTAAGTACAACAAATAGTTACTCAATAATGACTAATACATGTATTGATTTATTTGGTGAAGCTTGCATATTTTAAAAAGGGGGTCAATATACATTTTTATAACAGAAAGTCTTCAATTTTCTTTCTATCACTTCAAAAGAAGAATAGATAGTAGTTCATTTTGGTAAAGGATATAGTTACATGGACTGCAACATCCCATGACATTCTTAGAAAGAGAAGTATTATGTGACCTTATAAAATAATGCAGTAATTCTTAGCTAATTCAGAGAGGGCTTCAGTCACAGAAAGAAGCAAGAAGACATCCCTTGTGCTGAACATTGTATAAAAACAAGCTCTAATATAAACATCTAGATTGCCAATGTTCCCCAGAAAATCATGAGCAACCTATATATGAGATAAGGAGCCCTCCTCAGTCCTCCCTGCTAACCTCCCTGGTTCCTGTGTATGTAATGCACTGCCCACTAAAGTTCTGCTGGGCAAAGACAAGCTCGCTCTGAGCACGCCTGTGGGAGTCCACTAGCCAATGCCTTTCCTGTCCCACCACCTGTGGGTTTTCATTGGCCAAATTTGTGTTCAGGATTAAGAAGAGTGAACACTCATTCTTTCTAGTTCAGAATCAGTGCAGGTGATAATTTGTAACAAGTACTATTTATATCCAAGGGGAACAAAATGAACTAATGTTACTATATAGAGGAAAAGGCACAATTTTCTCATTTACAGTTTTATTCTAGACACACACACTGGGTTTTCTCTTGTTTGTTAAATGAAAAAAAATAAAGGAATGAATGAAATGAAGTACCATTCCATTGAGGATACATTAAATAGGGCAGGTGATCATGGAAAGGAATGGCTCTAGAAAGGCAAAGAAGCCAAATGACAGGGTGTGGGAAGTAAGAGGGAAAACACAGGAATTCATGGGCCCATGGCACAAAGACATTAAACACTAGGATTTGGACCACCTAGGTAACTGGCTCTGCCTGCATTATATATCCAGAGTGAAGGGTAAGAATTTAGATGGAACACAGCAGCAAAATGTCTATATTTCACTTTAGATTCAATTCAACAGACACAGTGTGCTGACTGAGGCACACAACAAAAGGGCTTTATGTTCTGCTAGAAGCTTGATAAAAGAGTGCACACTATAAGCCCCACAGTAGAGAGAGATTTTGCTCCATTTGCCAACTGAAGAGGGTTTTTAAAAAAAAGGCCAAGAGCCCTTCGGCTGTGTTTGTATGGCGCTCACTCACAGTGTGGTTCATAAGGAGGAGGAGGGTCTCCACACGGCACACACTCCATGTCTTGAAAGCCAACAAGTTTTGTCTTCCTGTAAAATCTAGAAGAGAAAGGAAAATAATCCTTTCATCTAAGATCACAGTTACAGCAAACAGATCTAGTTCATAAATTATTGGCATTCTCCATTATCAGTTCTATTACTTAAAGAAAGGTTCTCATAGGCTAAATATAATATTATATCACACTGCAGTGTTAGTTATCACATTATGTTTTGAATGAACATTAAATGTTAACTAGAAACACTAAGTGGAAAGGAGTTTGGGGGGTACAACTGGCAGGTTCCTGAGTCAGTGCTCACAAGGAGAGGATGTGATGTGGGGGCAGGACTCTGACAGGGCTATCAATAGCTGGACAGATTATACAACAGCTTCCAAAACCCAGTCTGTCAGTGTCTTTATTTCAATAGCTTAATGGTAGATTCTACAGTCTATTTTTTAAACTGCTACAACATTTTCAAAACCATCAACCCACTCACATTTTCCACCTAGTACAAAATGAGGTTAAGGTTAGAATCTGAAAGTACAGAGTAATTACTAAATAATAATAATCAATAATTTACTTATCATCAGACCCATTTTTTTAATTTATAAAAAGTTCCCTCAAAATTATCTCGTTTGGAGATGAAGATAAAAGAATTGTCATTTAGGGTATAATTTAATAGATTAAATGGATAATAAGTTCATAAATCTAAAATTATTCTACTTTCTCTTTATTTACTATGTTTAACCTGCCATGGTTTTGGGAAATAGAAACAATTTTAATTCTGCCTATTGACCAAGTGAGACAAGGTACAAATTTTCAAAAGTAAAGTAAGGTAACCGGTAACAGAGATATATACAAGGTGTCTGATAAAACTGGTTTTATGGTTGAACTTTAAATTTTACTCTGGGCTTTCAGGTAGCTAATGCAAAACGACAAAATGAAACCACATGGAATTTTTACTTATTGTTTTGATGAGAGGCAACATATAAATACATTTTATAGACCCAAATTTCCCACCAATACTGCATTTGAAAAGGAACTTTCGGTTAAACTGAATTCAAAGAACAATAGTTAGCCTAATGAGCTCCTTGTTTGAAAATTATTTTAAGAAATAATCTGTTGACTATAATCTGTTCAATCAATGCAAGCAAGTCTGCAAGTAGATGACACAGCAAAATTCTAGCTCTGGCTTTATAATGATCATGCTTAATGCAATTTTGAATGCAGTTCCCATGGCCCATGTATGACAATCAAGTCTTGATCAAATTTTCCATGGTGCTCGTGTTAGTTACCAGATGACAACTCCGCTCAATCCTATACTCTTGTTAGCACCCAGTTCCATACTGGTTGGTCAACCTGCTGGTCATGTTTCTCAACAGTCCACAGCAATGGCCCCTTGCTGAAACTGAACAAATGCCAATGTGAGGATGAATATTTAGGGTGAGACCCAGAGCTCATGAACACTGTAGTGGTTAATAGGGTACCATCTGGGAATAGGCAAGGGGAAGTGAGCTTGAAGATGGGGACATGGGGAAAAGTGAGGGTGAAAAGGGAGTAGGGCACAGAATAGTCAGCTGTAGTTCTCATGATTAATCATAATGGAGGGCCAGGGGACACCTCCCTGCAAAATTAGCTGCCTAGTTAATTACAGGACCTCAGCAATAGAATCTCAGGTCTTTGGACATACAAACTGGGTGACCCTGGGCAAATCATTTATTGGAGCAAATTTCCTCCTTTGTGAAGGAGGAATAGATTAATCCCTACTTTGTAAAGTGGGTTTTGATGATTAGAAAAGCTAATCTGCATATAGTACTCAGCATATAGCAAGTGCTTAAAAAATGTTAGCTATCATATTACTAGAAGCAGCAAAGAACTGAAAGGGGCCAGTTTATTCTTTCAGGTGGATCCCAGGTTCCCTTAATAGAGAGGGGACAGGGTCATGGGAGCAGAAAGAATAGGCTGCGATTCATTGGCCACACTTGGAAAAAAGGTATGCAAAGATTTTGCTGGCTGCAAATAACATTAATTGGCAACAATGTCTTTTTTAGTGCACCAGGGACTAAGCACTCTGCTAGGCATTTATATGCATTAAATTCTTCATCATTCCAACAATTCTGCAGGTTGGTATTATTATTAGATACTGTTTCTATTGGTGAGAAGAATGGCTGTCAGAGAAATTAAGCAACTGGCCTAAAATCAGTTCACTTTCAGAAACAAGCAGCCTGGGTCTCTTTAACCACTTAAATTGTGGGCACAGAGGACTGACTATTTCCCCACATACCTGCACTGGGAAAAAAGCAACTGGAGCGCTGCTGAGGCTGAACCTACGGGCAGCAAAAGACCTTATTTGAAGAGGTTGAAGCTGCAGAGGGTAGCAATGGTAGCAGAAATAGAATTGCTGACCATAAGCCTGATTTTCATGTTACTTTTCTAGAATATTCAATTTGCCTATTATTTCCCTTTTGCCTCAATATCCCTATCTGTGAAATGGCTTTCAACTACTTGTATCTTCACGTAAATATAATCTAGTTGAATGAGTACTTGTAGGGCACTATGGAAGATTTAGCTACAAGTCACTGTATAATTATTGCCTGCCTCGTACATTCATGCTTACTTTAAAAAGATGTAATTTTAAACTAATCATATAAATAAACTATGAAGCATCTATTCATTTATAGCTTTCCTGCATCACAGCATTTATTTAAAGAATGAGCAAACATTGTAGAAACTAAAGTACTGAGCTCAGATGACAATGAATGGGGTTAAGCAAAAGGAAACATGCTTAGGGGGAGGTGCTGGGAAGGATGTCTTCTCTGTCACCCAATAGCACTCCCCGTGGGCTCCCTCTGTAAATCTAAATCCTCGGGCCCTGCACCCTTCCTCACACTTACTGGGCACTGCCCACCTTATGCCCATATTTCCTATGGACCTTCTCTTCTCCCTGTCCCCCAGAAGAAAGCAGATGTGTACAAACATGATTTTATCAGAATAGCAACAATTGAGCTATGTTACATGTTCCGTTCCTATTCCTTAATTAGATTTGCACAAGGTCAAAACTCTGGATCATTATATTTGTAGGTATCACATAGTCTGAAATTATAGTTTGCTTTTTTCAATAATCGATACTGAGAATTCACATTTTACACAATCCACCCATTTAAAGTGTACAATTAGATGGTCTTTAGTATTTTCAAAGGTGCATAACCATCAGCAAAATCAATTTTAGAACAGATTCATCATGCCAAAAAAGAAACTGTACTTTTTTGCTCTGTACCTCCTCCTCACACACACCATTCTTTGTAAACCTCCCAAACCTCCAGCCTTAGGCAACCAATAATTTAGTTTCTATCTCTACCGATTTGCCTATTCTGGACACATCATACAAATGGAATCACACAATATGTGGTCATTTGTGGTTGGCTTCTTTCAATTCGAATAGTACTTTCTAGGTTCATCCATGCTGTAGCATGTGTCAGTATTTCATTCATTTTTATTGCCAAATAATACTCCATTGTTCAAATATATTCCAATTTGTTCATTCATTCATCAGTGATAGAAATCTGACTATTACATATAATGCTGCTATCAATATTTGTGTACTAACTTTTGTGTGCACATGTTTTCAATTCTCTTGACTATCTACCTAAGAACAGAGTTGCTGGGTTGCATGGAACTCTATATATAGCTTATTTTTTTTTTTTTTTTTTTTTTTTTTTTTTTTAAATATTAAATTTTATTTTTATATTCCCCCATACAATTGCAAACGCCCCATTCTGAACCCAATCCTTCCCCTCCCGCCCCCCACCCCCCAAAAAGTGTCTCTGGTTCATAGTTTTTTTGTTGATTTTGATTTTCACTTTCTTATATTCATTTTCCTGGTCCCTTATTTAAGTTTTCTAGATTCCTGCTATGAGTGAGACCATCCGGTATTTTTCTTTTTCTTTTTGGCTTATTTCGCTGAGCATGATCCCTTCCAGTGCCATCCATGTTGCTGCAAATTGCATGTGTTTATCTTTTTTGAATGCTGAGTAATATTCCATGGTATATATGTACCACATCTTCTTGATCCAGTCATCTATTTTTGGGCATTTGGGTTGTTTCCAAAGCTTAGCTATTGTAAACAGTGCTGCTATAAACATAGGAGTGCAGGTGCTCTTTGGAATTGATGTTTCTGTGTCCTTTGGGTAAATACCTAGGAGTGGAATTGCTGGATCATATGGAAGCTCTATGTTTAGTAGGTCCAGAAATCTCCACACAGCTCTCCATAGTGGTTGGACCAGTTTGCACTCCCACCAACAGTGCACAAGAGTTCCTTTTTCTCCACATCCTCGCCAACATTTGTTGTTGCTAGTTTTTTAATATGTGCCATTCTCAGTGGTGTGAGATGGTATCTCATGGTAGTTTTGATTTGCATTTCCCTGATTACAAGTGATGTTGAACATTTTTTCATATGTCTGTTGGCCATTTTCATTTCCTCTTCAGAGAAGTTTCTTTTTAGCTCTTCTGCCCATTTTTGACTGGATTATTTTCTTTGTTGTTGCTGAGTCTCATCAGCTCTTTGCAGATTTTTGTGATCAGTCCTTTATCATTAGTGTTGGGTGCAAAAATGTTCTCCCAGTTGGTGGGGTTTCTCTTTGTTTTTGTTATTGTCTCTTTTGCTGTGCAGAAGCTCTTTAATTTGATGTAGTCCCAGCTGTTTATCTTTCTCTTCACTATCACTGCTTTGGGTGATGTGTCTGTAAAGATGTCTTTGATGTGCAAATCCCGTAGTGTTTCGCCTATATTTCCTTCTATGTATTTTATGGTTTCAGGTCTTATGTCTAGTTCTTTAATCCATTTTGAGTTGATTTTTGTGTATGGTGTGAGGTAGTGGTCAAGCTTCATTCTTTTGCATGTAGCGACCCAGTTTTCCCAGCACCATTTATTGAACAAACTTTCTTTGCTCCAATGCATAGTCTTTGCTCCTTTGTCAAAGATTAGTTGACCATAAATCTGTGGGTTTATTTCTGGATTTTCTATTCGATTCCATTGGTCTGTATGTCTGTTCTTGTTCCAATA